CATTTAATTAGATAAAATCAGATGTACAAATAGAAGATAGGGTTTAATAGCAGATCAAATGAAGAGGATTGAAGGGGTATAATAATCTAGAGATCAGAAATATGATAAAACAATAATCAAAAGAAGAACAATGTCCAGAAAATAAAATGTAATGAAATCACAATGCATACACTGTTGTAGACCTTTGCATACTATTGTTTCAGACGAACATTAAGACAATGGAACATATCCACAGATGGGCAACGTGAAGAAGAGATTATTAAGAGATAATGGGATACCCAGATGACTTCCGAAATCTTATGACCTTGAAATGAATGTGCTTTCTATTATTGTAGAGTATAGGATTTGATCCTTGAACCCTAGGCCCCTGCAGTGTGGGGTGCACTGGGAGTTGAACCTTTCACCACTCCTTTTTTACATCTACATGCAACTGTTAAGGGAGTTCATCTGTTATTATGGGGTCCATTATCATCAGCAATTATATATCTCGACCCCTAGACAGAGAAGTGATGTGGTGGTGGTGCTGACTGAGCTTGGAGGCTATGAGAGTCCGAATGGGGAGGAACCAGCTTTAACTCGACCCTGGTAAAACTGAGTGGCTATGGATTTTTGCTTTGCGTCTTTTCCTAAGGACATCTATCCATCCTATCAGATCAGATAGGGTGGGCATACTCTAGTCCCTTCCCCCAAATATTGCCTTCTGTTGGAAGAAAGAAAGCATGCCTTTTCCATGGGAGCGGGCCTCCACTCTCCTAGCCTTCGCTAAATATTTGAAGATCTGGCTCCCCCCCCCTTGTCCCAAGCACTAGGATCAGATTGAATAACTAGTTTATTCAAAATTAGTTTTATAGTTTTAATATGGCTTTATATATTTTTTTATCTTTTGATTGGGACTCTCTCGGAGTTGATTTGAAGATGGGCAGCTATATAAATGTTTTAAATAAATAAATGAATAAGAAAGTTGATGCCATTCCCCAAGCACTGGAAAGAATTCCTAATGGTATGAGCTATTTAACAATCAACAGCATGCCTCAGAATGGAATGAATTCTCTTTTACTAGCATCTTCTAATACAAGCTCCTTTGGGCATTTTTTAAAATAATTTTGATTAAGCTCCTTTGGCCATTTAGTGAAGAAGGTTATTTGCATTAGATAAGGATTAGATTAAGTAACATTCAATACTCTTTTCAATTAAATTATTGATTTTACAATTAAAACATATTAATTTTAATTTATTTTTCCATTTCATAAAAATAAATTATTTGAACAGGTATATGCTTTTGTGATTCTTTTAATACAATATGGAAAATATATAAGAATATACCTCTATTAAAAATTGCTTTGTAGTCATATTCCAAGCAGGTGGCAGCATCTAACTAATTTTGGAGAATTGTGAAAAAGCTAACAGGATTGGACCTCATCATAATGGTAAATGGTCATACTCCAGAAGTTAGTCTACAAAATCAGAAAATTTACCTCTTAAATATGACTGGAAAAAACTGACAAAATTAAATTGGATGTTTAATATTTATAACGTTTTTACCCACTCTTTTTTACTTAAATTGTTTTCACCTATGAAACCAATCTGATTATTTTAGGAATGCTGTGCCAAAAGAATAACAAGTGGTCTAAGGTCAGATGCAGTATATTTAATCAAATGTTATCGGAACAACAGAAAGATTCTAAGGTTTAATGAATGGCTTTACAAGAGTTGAGCCACTGCCAAGATGATAAAGTTGACATTCTATAAAACAGTTTGCAGAGACAGATAAACCTTGGATAGTTTCCATGTAAAATGACAACCATTTCTTATGTTTTGGAATATTCATTGTAATGCCAACATCAGTGACTATTGTATTCAACTGTTATTTATATTGATTTTCATGTCCTATTAAAATTATCTACATTGTTTTGGGTTAGGTTTTTGTTATTAATGGATTTTCAGAAATATCCATTTAGGAAAAACAAGTTGCAGAATGCTGTCGATTTAATATATGGCAAATATGCTTCTCTCTCATTCTGTCTCTCCTTATTGAAAGTAGAAGAGATTAAAAGATTGTAATAATTATTTTCCTGGGCATGCTCTTCCATTATTATTTTTTTATAGCAATATGAAGGTGGTTTCCCACGACCTTGTTCCGGGATTTTTTTAACTAACCATTTTCTCACACAGTCCTGGATTTCCTGGTGCTCTCTCATCTAAGTATTAATAAGGTCTAACCCTGCATAGCATTTTTTCAGATCATCTAGATACTGTTATTTGTTCAAACAATCGCATAATAAAGACTTTGAAGAAGGGAGAACACAGTAAATAAAAATGACTATCCCACATTGTTCTATTTTATCAAGAAATGGGCTGTGCTCTACTTTGTCAAATACCTTACTAAAATCTTACTGAAGACTACATAAATTATGTCCACAGCATTACCATTATCCCCTAATTTAGTCACAGGCAATCAGGTTTGTCTGGCATGATTTTGTTTTGACAAACCCATGAGGCTTCTAATAATGATCTTGCTTGTTTCTAGGTACTCACAAATGTGTTGCTTAATTACCTTTTCCAGGATTTTCACAGCTATTGATATCAGACTGATTGGTCTGTAGTTTCCTGGGTTTACTTTTTTCTCTCTCCATTTTGTTGATCAGAACCATATCATCTCTTTCCCAGTGCTCTGGTAGTTCCCCTGTGCTTTAAAAGATTTTGTTCACTGGTTAACAATGTGAAATAGATAGTACCACCACCAGATGGATTCACAAGTGGCTGACCATCCACAGTCAACATGTAGTTTTTAATGGAATCTATATGGAAGAAATGGGTACCTCAAGGTTCTGTCTTAGGCCCAGGACTCTTCAACATCTTCATATATGATCTTAATGAGGGGATACAAGGGAAGCTCATCAAATTTTCGGATAACACCAACTGGGAAGAATAGCTAACACTTTAGAAGATAGACTTAAGATTCAGAATGATCTTGACAGATTTGAACCTTGTATCCTATCCAATAAAATGCAATTCGGTAGTGAGAAAAGTAAGGTCCTATACATAGGCAGGAAAAACCAAAACCAAAACCTGCCTCAACAGTACTATGAAAGGGATCTAGGTGTCCTAGTAGAGCATGACTTATGTATGAGCCAGCAGTGTGTGATACAGCTGCCAAAAAATAAGTGCAGTTTTAGGCTGCATCAACAGAGAATGGTTTTAAGATCACATGAAGAGACAGTACTACTTTATATTGCAGTAGTGAGATTACACTTGGAATACTGCACTGAATTCTGGTCACCAAGATACAAAAAAGATGTTGAGATCCTAGAAAGAGTTCAGAGAAGGGCAACAAAGATAAGAAGTATGGAGGTTAAACCAAGTGTTCCAAATGAACAATTGAGTGAACTAGGTATGTCTAGTCTAATAAAGAGAAGGACGAGGGCTGATATGATAGCAGTCTTCTAATACTTGAATGGTGGTCACAGAGAAAAGTAGGTCAACCTATTTTCCAAAGCACCTGAGGGCAGGACAAGAAATATTAGATGGAGGGTCATTAAAGAGAAATTAAACCTAGAAATAAGGAGAAATTTCCTGACAGTGAGAACAATTAATCAACAGAATGCTTTACATTTGGAAGTTGTGGGTGTTCTGTCACTGGAAGTTTTCAGGGACACAGTGAAGAGCTGTTTGTTCAGAATATTATAGGGTGTCCTGCTCGAGCAGGGGGTTGGACTAGAAGTCCTTTAATGTCCCTTCTAACCTTAATAATATTTGTTCTACTGTTAAGAAATATATTTCTGTTTAAATAATGTAATAATTTTAAAATTACATCAGTATCTTTAAATTAACATGTATAAATTTAAATTTTCTTCTCCCCACAGCTTCTTCATAAATTAAAAGATTCCAACTTTGAGGAATATCGATTTATGTCAAGTTAGTATCTTTGGTCTTCCAAGAAAATGTTTATCATATTAATAATGTCTAAGGGATTTCAAGTAGACACTTCCATAACATATTTACCAAAGCGCAGCAGTTAGAGTGCAGTACTGCAGGCCACTTTAGCTGACTGTGTTCAGCAGGTCAGCGGTTCAAATCTCACCAGCTCAAGGTTGACTCAGCCCTCCATCCTTCCGGGGTAGGTAAAATGAGGACCCAGATTGTTGGGGCAATGTAAATATATATATATACATTGCTTACTGGTGTACACCGCTTAGAGAGTGTTTGCACTTAAAGCGATATATAAGTCTCATAAATAAATAAATAAAATAAATAAAACACATCTAAATTCTGAAGTCATTGGGCTATATAGGATATAGGATATTCCAACATCTACTCCAAATTTCTTATATATTTTTCAAATGTATTTTTGGTTTTTTAAAAAAATTGCAGTACACTGTCAGTCAATCTTAGTAAAAGCCTTTTTCTAGGATACTCAATGCCTCTAGGATTTTAGAAGCCATGAAGCCATTGGGACGTAACAATGTACATAGCAAGAGATTTAATTGTGTATATTACTGTTCAATCTGGTATTTCTCTGGCAGAAACTTAAAGGTTTAAAAGATGCAATTACTTAACAATTTGGGTGGTAATGAATCTATAATAGACACATATTTTCCAAAACAAATGTGTTACCATTTTAAAATGTTCATTTCTCAAGAGGGGAAAACCAAACTTAAGTTTCATGCCCAATTGGCTTCAGTGCTGGAAACATAACAAAATTGCTGCTGTTTCTGGAACACCAAACTTGCCAGGATTGCAAAGGAACTAAATTGTAACTTTCAAGTTGAGCCAACAATGGTAACGAGTAAGTGTTGTTTTCATTCCAATACGTGACTGGAGTTAGCAAATAAGTCCTCTAGTAACATTTAAAATTAGAAAATTTAAAACAACATCACTATGAAAGTGACATAATTTTAAGAAAATGATGCTGGGCCTTTGGTCCTCAAATAAAACTTGAGTCAACCATGTATTTCAAAATTTTAAGCTGAATCCATATAAACACTGGTGCCAGAACAGACCTCAGTCTTGATAAAAACTTCATTTTCACTTCATTTTTATTATTTATTTCTTAAACAAATTTATATGATCATCCAATTCACACACAGTGACTCTGGGCAGCTTGCAACATTAAAAATTCACAACATAAAACTCTAACTCCATGGCAGCAGCAAATAAATTCATACCAGTTGGGTTCTCAGGCCCACTGACAGAACCAATTAATTAACCAACATTAAATTCTTCCCTGAAAACCTTAAACTATTTTTATCCACCTCTTTATATCCTCTTTCATCTAAACTATACATTTTGTTCTTATTTATTACACCAGATACTGATACACCAGTTTACTTGATGGACTTCCTAAGTATGCTAATTCAGCAGGCAGCCTTTTCATAATTAGCTTCCCATTTAGTGAAATGGTAATATGTTTGCCCGTTACTTCTTTGCTATCACTAATTTACTATTAAAATTCAGGCATCCTTAGTCTCTTGTAACATTCAGTTCAGCTGGTTCATTTGTATTGTTTGTAATAGATGCAAGCATACTAGAAAAAAGCAATTGTAAGAAATAAGGGTATACATTTGTTTTAATTCTGATAAATTTAATATAAATATTAATGAGTATTAATATTCATGAGTATTTCATTGTTAATAATAAAATATTATTAATAAAATAGCAGTGTTGGAATTCCACAATCAGTGTTTCATTATAGAAATGTTATAATGGAATCATCCAATCATAGAGCTGGAAGGGTCTTTGAAGGTGTTGTAGTTCAAGCTGCTGCCCAGACAGGAGTCCTTATTCCATCCCAAACCAATGGTTATCCAATCTTTTCTTAAAAACCTCCACAATGAACCACCCACAACTTCAGCAAGCTGTTCCATTGGCTAATTGTTCAATAGTTTCCCATTAATAATAGGAAGAATAGAAAGAAACAAAAAAGATTAAATTCATATAAGTATCATATTAGCAATTGTCTAATAATTCAGTCTCACATACATGACATTCAGTTTATGGAAAAGAAATCCTTATCAATGAATGCGGATCCCTATTTTCCACCCCATATTAGATGCACACAACTTTTTTTTTATCCTTTACAATAGTCATTAATATTTTATAAACAGATGTACATATCTCACCATCAAGATCACTCCATTTATCTCTCTCTCCAGGGGATTATTTTCAATATTAACACAATGTATAAGAACTCAAGTGCAATTACATCATTTGTCTAGAACAAAGTGCTGGTATTTTCATCATAGCAAATTAGACACATATGCATTCATTTTCTCTACTATAAACATTAAACATCTAAAAATTATTAATTCTATTTATATGTAGTAGATCAGATTCTACTGGAGTTGCTTACACATTTTTGGTATTTAGTTTGAATTTGCAAATGATATCTTTTCCAGAAAAATCTTTGACCTTAAAATCTTAATATATTTTAGTTATAGGGCATTTTATTTTAGTTTCTTTATGTATACATAAACATACACATATGCATACATACATACATACAAACATACATGCATATATGAAACTAATTCTTAGAACCTCATTTTATTAATGTGCAACAAATGAGATATCAGGCCTATAGAGATTAAATTGCCTGGTCCATGCATATACTTGTCATTGCTTTCTTTCCTCTTCTTTAAATCCTCCACTTTTCAGTTTGATAGCATTTTATCAGACTTATCTAGAAAACTCTTACCTTGGTGAAGGATTCTAATTTTAAATGTTTCAATAGACCATTTTAAAATATACCCTTCACTCAACAAGTGTTTCAGAGGATTAACTTGGCTAATACTTAAAGTCAGCATACCATATTTTGAAATATTTCTTGAGGTAACTATGACATTGTTTAGAGAAATACCACATGGGAATATAATCACGATCATCATTTTCTCAGTAGTGATAATGGCAGCAGCAGTGTTCACTTCACACAGGGGTCTCCTGCTAGCTCTGATACAGTGGACCAGATAGATCTGCTTTTTTTCAAAATAACTTGAAATAATTATATGGTACTTTTTGTGCAGTGCCCATAGAAAAATAAAAGTCCATGTGTTCATAACTGCGGAAGAACATTTACATTTTTGTGCTGAAAATGTTTCCAGTTTTCTATTTCACATATTTGGCATAATGAGCTCGAGGAATTTAATTCTTCATGGAATATTTGTCAAGATTTTGGGCACAAAGTCAGGATATACCCTTTGACAGATAACCTTAATAATTTATACTTTTAACATCAGGTTCCTTTTACTGCTAATTTAATAGGTCTATACACTTTAGTGTCTAGTAAATCAGGCTTCCTGTTTGTCAATTTTATTAAATAATAGCATTGAATGAAATATCTTTCTATAAATAGTATGTTATAATACATGTCATTGCACTTTACAATAGCACTGCCCATGCAAGTGACAGATGGAGAAAAATAAATTCTTAGTAATCAGGGAAATACATTACAATCTTTCCTATAAGCATCTTCATTCTCATCCTGGATAAGATCCACCACTGCCGTGTCATCATCATCATCATCATCATCATCATCACAATATGATTCGTAGCAGATTTGGCACAGAGGTCTTGGATCATCAAGGTGAACAGTAGCGGACTCAGGATACAGCCCTGTGGAGAACCTGTACTCAAGGAGATGGAATTGGAAACTTTCTTTCCAATTCACACAACCTGGGACCTATCAATATGGAAATTAGGTTGCTAATCCTGAGGGTCATAATCTTTCACTATGCTTTGTTATTTTAATGTATTTGCTTTGTTATTTCTCACTTGCTTCCATACATTATTCTTTTCTGGCTTACTAGCCATCTAGTTAATTTGTGCCTCAATCATTCTTGTCTAATCTTGTATGATTTAATGATATGTTCAGATTTGATTTGTTTTTTACATATATGTAAACATTCAATAAGCTATATGTAGGGCATATCAGCATTTCATTTTTAAAATGTAAGGCATCTCCTAGAAAAACAATATGTACACCAGTATATTCTAGTTAATTCATTTACTGATAACCTGTTAATTTTAAACAAATGTTCAATCTCATCCAGCAAAGGCCATCACCATTTGGACAATCCAGCTGAATTTTAGTGCACACACTCATACAAAATCCCATTGTATTATACAGAACCTCCATCATTCATCTCCTGAGCTGTGACTATGATGATCAGACTTTGGCACCTTCCTCCAACTGAAAGTTTATATAGTCAGCTTCAGAAACACAAAACCAACCTCTTTCTATCTGCCGATTCCTCACCCATAGAAATGAAAGACTTCATAATACTGACAGAGCACAAAAATGTATTATGGAGCATTTGACCTTTCACCTTGGAGAATGAAAGGAAATGCCAAATGTCTCAACCCCTAAACATAACAATATGAAAAAGTTTTGTCAGTCTAAAATCAGAGGCTGTTGTGGCAACAAGCAGCACATCCATCAACTTACTTTATCTGCATGTAGACAGTTATAACTGTCACATGATAGACATGAAGTCACTTACCTTTTTTATGCCAGGAAACTGAGAAAAACTCAGAAGTATCAGCAAAGGAGAGAAGAATTATGGCACAGAATATCAAAGACAGATGAGCATTGTGTCTCCATGTAAATAACATGAGAAGAACTGCAAGAACAAAGGTGGCACATGAAAAAGTAATTAATGTTATAATAAAGAACAAACTGAAAATCAGAAATGGAAGCTATAACTGCTATGTTTGTTACTGCTCATATGAAGGCATGGACAAATATGTCAGTAGTTCTTGTATTTGTTCCTTTTGCTGTATTTATTATAATGGTGGTTTGTTTAGAAGACTGTTATGTTTATTGCTATGCATACCTATGCACCAGTGTTTACTATGATTGCAGTGATTTCATACATATATTTCCATTTCCATTTTTCTTATATTTGTTTTGTCCTGACTCTACACCCACATGAGAGTGTTTTTAAAATGTTTTCCTCTCACCAAAACAATTCACATATATAGTAATAGTAGTAAAGTTGGAAGGTCATCTAGTCCAACCCCCTGCTCAGGCAGGAAATCCTACACCATTTCAGACAAATGGCTGTCCAGTCTCTTCTTAAAAACTTCCAGTGTTGGAGCATTTACTGCTTCTGGAGGCAGGCTGTTCCACTGATTAATTGTTCTCACTGTCAGGAAGTTTCCCCTTAGTTCTAGGTTGCTTCTCTCCTTGATTAGTTTCCACCCGTTGCTTCTTGTCCTGCCTTCAGGTGCTTTGGAAAATAACTTAATTCCCTCTTCTTTGTGGCAGCCCCTGAGATGTTGGAATACTGCTATCATGTCCCCCCTTGCCCTTCTCTTCGTTAAACTAGACATACCCAATTCTAGCAACCGTTCCTTATATGTTTTAGCCTCCAGTCCCCTAATCATCTATGTACAGTTTCTTGCATAAAATTTTTGCCTAACTAACATTTTTTTGCAATCAACTTTCCTCCTAGTGAAAAACACATTTATATATTTACAAGGAAGTGTGATGGCTCAGTGGTTAAAGATACTGAACTTGTCAGCCTGAGTTCAAGATGCGAAGCCTCATGCAATGTGGTGAGCTTCCATTGCTTGCATTAACTTCTGCCAACCTAGCGGTTCGAAAGCATGCAAATATGAGTAGATAAATAGGTACCATTTTGGTGGGAAAGTAACAGCATTTCATGCCCCTTAGTGTATAATCCTGCTGGCCACATGATCATGAAAATTGTCTTTGGACAACATTGGCTTCATCGGCTAAGAAATGGATATAAACCCCTCCCCCTAGAGTCAGACATGACTGGACAGGGAAACCTTTAATTTTATATATTTACAGACATTCATTCTTACCTGTAGTCTTTCCCCTCATGCCCCCTAAGATATGACAAAGGGTTTTTGTATAACTTTTTAAACTGGAGAATTGCATTGTAAGCTTTGAAAAAGTTTGTAATAAAAAGAAAAATAGCATTTTCTATAATTGCATTTTCACACATTAGTTTGAAAGTGCAAAATTAGTTAAGTCAGAAATGAAATATGACTGACTGAATTTCTTTCCCATCCCTAAAGCATATATACATTTGCACTCTTTGGAAAGTGCTTATCACTAGTATACCAGTATAGTACTATTATTCTAACACTAGCAACAGTAATAATTAGATACACAATGCCTTTGATTTTATTTTTTTATTGTAGAAAATGTATTACTTTCATTTCCACTGTAATTTTAAAAAGTTGAATGACATTTTTATCAGACTCAGAATATATATTTGAAAAGAAATGAAACATCACACAGGAACAGGGTGGCTGAATTACTGGAATTAGCTCTTATAGTCTCAAAATGGTCCTTGATTTGCAGTTTAGTATTATATCATTCAAACATAACCCAGGGAACCCATCAAGAATATTCTACATTTCTTATTTCAAATCTACAGAGAAGTGGCCCATTTTGGAGTAAAAAAATAAGGTGTTGGGTTTTTTTTAGTTTTTAAATTGGACAGTGAACTAAGCATATCCATGGGCAAGTTGCAAAACAAATCCATAAAGTAGCCAGTGGTTTCAACAGCGAGAACTACCCTGCAGATATTGCAAAAGAACAAGAGAAAGTTAATATTTGGCAGATACCAAGTGCAGCTGAATGCATGCTAAAAATAAATTGTCTTTGTTTCTCTTCTTAATGGCTGATCATTAAGGCAACTGTGCAAATGTAACATATTGTGAAGGTTCCCTTAAGAGCTGCTTTCATCCATCTTTATTATTTATTGGTTTAAGTCAGATGACACATCTGAGCTACTTTATAGTTGGAGGTGCGGCTGATGGACCGCTTGCCCTATCTGACCTTGGAAAGGGCAACTGTAGTTTAAAGATGTTTATAAATGGTACATTTCATGGCAAAGAATGATGTGAAAATAAATTGAGTGCACTCCTGAAATGATTAAAAGGAAGACATTGTATAAACAGGATACTGCAGCAGGCCAGCTTCTGAAAAGCATGATCGGCACTGAGAATTAAAGGCCCCCGTGCATCAAACTGTCCTGCAACGGGATCATTATAAAGGATTTCTGTCATTGCCTCTGATGGAAGCACCATTTGTTCCGAGGGTAAGGCTGTAACATTTAACAATGGATTACCTATGGGTGTTGATGTTTAACATTCTAGGAAAATATGAGGAGGATTGAAATGCCTTTAGCAATTGTACAATGGGAGAGTTCATCACAATCAACAAAAAAATGCTGAAGAGTTTGAGACCTGGCAGTCTAAGGGGCCATTTCGTCTCACATTACTTACTCAACAGAGAGTTCATTTCTGTGGCACCAGTGTTCAAAAGTGCCCTCCATGCTTCATAATCCTTGATGAACTGACATGTGTTTATTTTTACACTGTATTTTGAAGGCCCTTTTGTTTCCTTATGGGTTCTTTGGTCACACTTCCCTCTAGATGTGTGTTGGTTGTGGTGAGTTACATCGTCATGCTCATCACATCCTTCCACTGTAACCAGGTTTGCATATAATCAAAATCTTGTATTCCTTCTATGGGAATCGGTCATGAAAACCTTTGTGCAAGCACACTTTCACATCGCTCCTCTTTATTTCTACCTAAATTCCTCTTCCAAACCACAGTTCCTACTTCCTGGTAAAATGTAGTTTGTTTAAACTATATTCAATGAAACCAAGCAAGAATAAAATAGGATGGGGGTTAGAGTTATTATTTAGATGTTTACTCAAGTCTGTAATAATTCTGGGCATATAACTTTAAAAACAGTCAGAGCAAATATACAAACAAAACAACAATGTATTCCAGAAGAGGAAACATTTCAGGAAACCAATATAATCCTATAAAAGGCTCACCTTAACTCAATGTCTTGGGGTCAAGAAATATTTTCTTTAAACTCAACCAGAGTAGAGGCTATATGGATATCGATCGGGGGAGGGGGGGACATTATTCCAGATGGCAGATATAGTGATAAAAAACACCAGTTCCTGGATCCTCTCAAGTAACATGAGACCTAAAGTATACTCGCTCTATGCAATCATATAGGATAAGCAGAAATTGTGTTCCTTCAGATATGGGCCTATGTTACAAAGGTGGTAAGTGGCACTTGGTTTGTATCTGGAAGCCAAAACAAAACCCTACTGTAGTTTAGGAGCCAGTCATGTTACATGAACATACTCACATTGCCTCACATTGGACTTGTGTTGGAAGCACCGAGGTGCTTCTGGGTTGAAAGGATTAGTTGGTGACATTATCATTGCCCAATTGAGGGGTCCTTTCATGTCCCTGGCAGGAGCTGGAGCAAATGACAGGAGTTCACCCCACTCCAAGGCAGCATTCAGGTCTCAAATGTGGGCTTGCTGCTTGTCAACCCAGTGTCCTAACCATATGACCTACCATATTCCTCATGGACATACTGAGTTATGCCTATTACTGTCTGCATATTTGTATTCTGCACCAGTTGTAGCTTCTGAACAATTTTCAAGAGCAGGCCAGTACAAACCAGTGTACAATGTATTATACTTTCTCACATTTGGGAAAAGCAAAGTTTTGGGACAAGCAAGCATATCTGTTGAATGTTAACTATGGCTCTTTCATGCTATGCCATTATATCTGAATCCAGCCTCCCAAATGGATCACTTTAAGCAGCTGAGGAGGAAGACCATAAGCACAAAGAAAAATAAGAACATTGATATTGAAAAGCAGAAACAGTCCATAGGCAAAACATGAGACTAAATTACTCTGATTAAACACTCATACTGTTTTATTTCAAGTCATGCTCCTTGTCCTTAAGATATTTGTTACTTTGAATGGAATTGGGCAACAAAAACTTTAGTAATAGCTACAATAACTTCTTTATAAGTACTTATTTTATTAAATGTTTAATTTATATCAAATCACTCCAATAATTAAGGCAACCTGCAAATTATAAAAAGAAATCTTCCCAGGTAATAACATATATGAATTAAACATTGTCAGGAAAGAGATGTGGATTTCTGAGCCATTAATAATTTTTAGCATGTTGCTTTCATTTGCATCCACATAAATCAGTGCATTTATTCACATTACTCTTCCAGTAACTTTTTGAGATAGACTACCTCTCAGAGAATTGTATTACCTAAGCTTATATACTATGAAGTCTGTAGATGAGTTGTAATGTCTAGTTTCCTGTCATATGAAACCATAAAACACTAATACTGCAAGTTAAGGGTAAGCATAGTGAATGAGGTAAGAAATCATGAAACATTTCTATATCTTCTTTATACTCTGAAAATATATGTCAGGCACTAATTTCTCTCGTGTTATTCTAAGATGTCTCACAGACAATCTTTTTCCAATGTTATTAATAAAAGTGTACCTCATACCTAACTATGAAGTCTGGATAAATATTTTGTTAAAATGCTAAATGTTTTCTCTTGTCCTGAGGGTGTTGAGTTTCTGTATTTTTGGTCAGGCAAACAATAGCTATAATTTAAAATAAATTAAAACAAGGAGATTCAAACTTCACAAAGACTCTGGATGTTAGCTTCTTTTAACCTAGGTTGGTTCCTGTTATAACTAGTCCCATGCGACTGATATTCTTCCCAATATTCTTGATACTTCCTTAATGACAAAACATCCAGTGTGCACCTGACAAAAAACATATGAATAA